TTCAGCATCTTAGCTGTAGAGGGCAGTGTCACTGGCCCTCATATGTGGGATCCGAACCGGGGCCCTCTGGCATCCCAAGCGAGTTCTTAACCATCGCGCTACTCAGCCGGCCCTTAAATTAGTTTTCTTGACATAAGGTTTAACAATGAACCCTTTTGAAGAGTATAATAAAAATCTAAGTCAAATTATGTATTGTCTTTAAGATAACTGAATGCACTTACTCAAGATGTCTGATTTAACACATAATCCCCTGCATGTATGCAGTCCCCCCAAAACTCTCCAGGCCTCTCCCAGCCACTTAACAGCTACTCTGGGGAGCACAGCAACTGCCAGGAGCCAGTGTGTGTGAAAATGGTCGCCAGAACAGAACGGCTAGAAGATGACGAGGCTCCTCTGGGTCCCCACTACCTTCCCGCTAGAGGAGCCTGAGGTGGGCCTCCCTGCTCTCCGGAGCATACAGTGAGCATCTGTATGGGATCCTGACCCCCTGAACCCCTTCCCAAGCACTGCCCCCTGGGGAGGCCACACTGCCAACGCAGTGCTGCTCTTACTGGACAGTGGATGCAAAATGCAGCCACAACGATGCTGCTCTCACTTGAACTGCTGGGCGGCCTAATGGAGCCACCACATGCCCCTCAGTGCCCAGCACATGGCACTTGGTGTGTCCTGGCCCCGGCCCCAGGCAGCTGTACACCCACCAGCTCAGTGGTTTCGTGGGTGGGCAGGGCTGCGACCTTGTCCTCGGAGCCCTGGCCTGGGCAGAAAGGGCATGCTTTGGTTCAGAGCAGGGCAGAGACAGGCTGCGAAGGGCTCTTGCTCCTATCACTGCCTCAGTGTCCCTGGCTGTCAGGGCACCTCCTGGGTGCTTTTGGCTCTGGGATCGAGTGGGGACAGGGGCGCTCAAGAGGACAGCTGTCAAGGAACAAGTGAATCCAATGCATTGAAAACATCTTTACGTGGTCCTGGGGTTTTGCTCAGGTGTCCTGAACCACAAATTGTTTGTTTCTCATATATTTTAATGGGTCACTTATCAGGCACTGTCCTCAGACACCTATTTTCCAAAGTCCACAAACCAGTAGGCTAGTCCGTCATGTCTGTCATGTGGCTGAGATGCTGTGTGCAGCTGCCCCCAATAGAAATAATTTAGATAAAACACACAAATCCTATATTTTGCCTCTGACGTATATTCAAATATGTCACAATTTTACATTCTAAATTCTTGACTATTCCTATATTTCTGACTCTCAGTGTAAACCAAGATGAAAAGAACATTAGGGAAAAAAATATTTTGAAGATTTTTCAATCTTCCCTTTATTTTCTTGGAGAGAATGAAGAGACTTCTCAAGAAAATGGAAAACTGTGTGCGTAGATTTACTTCCATTGTAGTAACAGGGTTTCGGGAAGAGAAAAACCAGGTGCCGTAAATGCACTGTCTCCTGCTGCCAGCCCTTGTGGGGGTTGGTGGGGCTGTAGCTCTGTGGCACCGTTTTACACGACACTTTATATTCATGGCAGGTACCGTTTCAAACCCCGGAAATTTCAAATAAGCAAGTTGCTAAAAACATGTCAACATTTTATCTTAAAGATTCAAAATAAAGGAGATAGAAATGGTTCAGGAGAAATTCCACATCCAGAAGCTCAACCTGAAGGGAACGGTCTGTCTGGTGATGTCACCACAGGATCAGCAAAGGGGAACAGAGAAAGGGCCCAAGGCTTGCAACGATGCTGGAGGGCTGTGGGGGGGGGGGGGGGGGGAGAGGGGAGGCTGGCTAAACCTGGTTCAGAGCAGCTTGTGATCACGTGCCCTGTACACTAAAATTCAGGTGTCAGAAAAATGCTTAAAGACACAGGCAAATAAAAGGCACAAACTCTAAAAACCACACATCGAGGGGAACCACAATCTAAAAACGTTTACTCACCTACAAAAAGATGGATTTAGTAGCCCTTATTTTCCTTCTTATTTAAATCTACCTGACTGTTCAAACTTTTCACATGAAGAAACCAGTTGGATGGGGAAGAAGTCTCCCCGTGACCCACTGACAGCTTCTGCCCCTGCCCGGCTGGAAGTCCTGGCTGTGCCCCTGTGCGGTCTCAGTCTCATGGGGAAAAGACGCCGGTGGACGGTGGTCAGTGGGCTCACACCTGCTCACTGTCACAGCCAAAGGCTTCCCAGGCCTGATGCTGGAAGGGGCCCTGGAGTAAGCCGCCAGCCCAAGGCCCTGACCCTAGGCACAAACTTTCCATCAGTGCCAGTCAGACAGTGAGTGGCAAAAAGACTGAAAGCTGGGCAAGTCTGACACCATGGGCAGCTAGGTACCCAAATGACCTCAGCGGGCAGGACGGACAATGCCCTGATCTAGCAAGAGAGCGTTTGACACCATCAAGCTTCTAATGTGCACTTGGGTCCCAATAAGCCACCTACCAAAGCGAAGGAGGTGTCAGAAAACGAACGCTCTCCCACAGTGAGGGCTTCCCTGGCGAGGACAATGAAAGGTCTGCTGTCACCACTAAGGGACACGGAGGTCAACATGGCTCTGTAGTCACACAGACCTCTCGGCCATGTGCAGCCTGGGCGGTGGCCTCTCCTGGAAACATCCAGGCACCAGGGCAGCACAGAATCAGCTGCACCAATTTCCCCTCTTGCCCCCATCTCCCCGTCCCCCCACAGTGAGCGGATGACAGGGACTGCTCACCTGTATGACAATTTCTCAATTTAAAACAGTGACACGTACAGAACAGCGTTGGCAGGAAACGCGCCTGCACAGCAGCGCGGCTTTTCAGGGATGGAGCTCGGGTCATCCCTCCCCGGCAGGCAGCTGCGCTATTGGCTGCCAACCACTGCTGACGTTTAAAGTGAACCCCAGACTATATAAAACCAAAAGAAAATCAGAGCCAAAGCACTCTGGTCCGGGCAGCTCTGGGGTGTTTCAACTTTTCCCCATGGTTTCCCCTCTTTTAAAGGTTCCTGTAGCCTTGGCCTTGAAGAGCTGCAACTAACGCAAAACTCCGTCCTAGTTTACATTAGAATTTTTAACAAGGCTTCCAGCAATGCAGCTGGTCGGCCTGTCAGACGCACTCACACCAAGCTAGGGGGAGGACCACGGATCACCTTCCATGATGACAAAGCCCCAGGTAGGACTGGCCTGGGCTGCCATGCTCCGCAGGGGCAGCACTCGCCCAGGCAGGGGGCACTCACACGCTGCTGTCGGTGAGGGACAGACTGTCCGCATCGCTAGACAGGCTCTGCTGCTCGCTGTCATTGGTGCTGGTGGCCGGGGCGAGGGCGTAGCCGGAGTTGACGTAGTAGGGGTTGACAGGCTCCCGCCAGGATCCATACCTGTGAACAAGCAGAGCACATCAGCAGCAGCCCCAAAACATCCTCTCACATTAATCCGTGTTTTCAGAATCAACTGGGTACCCTCATCTATGAACTATTGTACAAATGCAAACAATTCAGGAAAAAGAGCAGAAAGGGGCTGGCCCCTTCATCCTGCCTCCCACCCCCCTGCTCTTCCCAAGGGGGTTGGGTAAGCCCTGGGCAGCTTCCAGATTTTTCCCCTGCATTTAGGCAGATGGGTGAGTGAACACACAGATTATCACGTGGGTTTGTATTTTTAGGCACGTAACTAGAAATGGGGCATTGCTGCTCTGCTCTTTCTTCTTTTAAAGAGCAGACTTCTTTACTGCAAAGCACCCCCAACCTCCTGGGTATTGCAGTGGCAGCATTGACTCTGGTGCCCACGACCTCATGTAGTCCTCACGAGAGCCTGATGACACAGTGGGCCACAACCCCTTCATGGGGGTCGCAGAGCCCGCTGGGGCTCCTGTGCACAGGTCTGAGGGGGGAGGCAGGGGAGGTAAGTGTGGGTCTAACAGAGACTGTCACGCTGCCCTCCGTGCCACTTCCTACTAGGAACAGTGACTGCACATGCTGCCCGGGTGGGATGCACCTCCACCTGTCACATGATTGGCCAGAAAATGACACTTTATTTTAGTTTGCATTTCCCTGATTAACAGGCTGGAATTTGGGGTGGCATTTAAATTCCTTCCTCTGTAAGTTACCTGTTCTTGCCTTTTGTCCATTTTCTACTGGGCTGTTTATGAGTTTCTTAGTGATTTATATAAATCTTTAAATATTCTTACTATTAACCTCTGGTTATTTATGCAACAAATATTTATCCCTAAATGCCACTTTTTTTTTTTAACTTTGTTTATGTTGATTTGGGTCATACAAAAGTTTTTTATTCCTAAGAAATCTGATCTGTCAATCTCTTCCTTTATAGATTATTTTTCTATCTTACATAGGTAGGCTTTCCTCATTCCAAGATTATAAATGTATTCTTCTACTTATCTTCAAACACTTCTATAGTTTTTTTTTAATTTAGATCTTTGCCTGAAATGCATGTATGTGTAAAATCTACCTCACCTTCTTGCACTAAAATTGAGAACCAGGGCCGGCCGAGTGGCGCGATGGTTAAGAACTCGCTTGGGATGCCAGAGGGCCCCGGTTCGGATCCCACATATGAGGGCCAGTGACACTG